TGTCCCGCGACAGCCGCCCCCGCCTTCCCCCATGTCTCCCCGCCTCTCGCTCAGCCGCCGTTCGTCGTACGCACACCTTTCGCAGACCGTGCAATTGCAAAGCCAAAACCAAACTCAAGCCAAGCGCCGACGCCGACGCCGCAGGGCAACACGCTGCGCCACGTACCCTCGTCGCCCGTCCTGAAACAGAGCTACCGCCAGCAGCCGCAGCCGAGCCCGTCGTCGCCCGTGCCGTCGCGCATCCCCGCGCTGACGCGCCGCGCGTCGCACGCGCAGCTGCAGCTCCCGCAGACGGAGCTGCGCAAGCGCTCGGGGAGCATCGTCACCCCGTCGATGGTGCGCGCCGCGGCAGGCGGCGAGAGCGGGACTCGGTGGCGGGCATACGTACGGGCATGGGCTGGGAGTCTCCTTCTGCATGGGCGTGCGAGCGGGGGCGCGCTGGACTTTGGGGCGAGGCGCCGGCAGCGGGGGGACGGTGACAGCGAGGGCGGGGATATCGACGATGAGCTCTCAGTCGAGGTGTGCGTCGCCCGTGCTGCTGCCCGCGCGGTCGGTGCTCGCAGCCGCGGCGCGGATTGAGCGCGGGATCCCGCGCGCACCTTCACCGGACCCATGATACGCCCCGCATCGTTCTCTTTTCCACCAGTTTTCTAGGAATGTGTATTCTCGCTTTCTTGAGCTACAGCAAATTACGGTACGACACCACGGGTACTCGACCCTTGCTCTCTTTGCAATGTTTTACGTATTCAGTTATTAGAGTGGAGTTCGCGACCTAAATAAATCAGTATTGACTTATACAGGCGGGGCAAGCGAAGAAAGCCCGCCATTCGGTACAGGTGAGCGTGTGGTGCTGTCGACCGCGTTAATCTTAGCTTCATTACCGACAGAAAAATTGATATTCAAACAAGTCTTAGAGCAGCTAGCGAAACGTCAATACGCTTTTGTAAACATTTAGCGGTAATTGTACTTCAAGTACTGGTACCCTTTGAAGCTGAGCTAGTGCTTCACGCACGCATTCGTCAGCATTCGTCATTCAAGCAAGCTTGGCGCCGAACACAATTTAGGAAAATTTTCACCAGCCTTTGAAGAGCTGCTCGAGCAAGATCAGGTTCTGAAGTCGCGGATCGCCGGAGACCATGCGAGCCATCTCATACTTGACACCGCGGTGGGCGAAATGATGCCCAAGAACAAACACAAAAGCTGTTCGGCTTCCTTCTGAGATCTATATCACCTTGAAACGACAGGCGACTCCAATCTGGCTCGCCTTTGACCATGGAGTCGCCTACCCATAATTCACCTGGGAAGTCTGCATCATCCGACAACGAAAGGTAGCTAGCTACTTCTCTCGCTATCTGCCATAGCTGACATGAGGAGCCGCAGGCTAATCGAAGTGCTGCAAGCCTGTTTTTCTGATCTGGGCGAGGAGGCAGGAGGAGCAGGGAGACAGGTCTGCAATACTTTTCATCCCTTCCAGACGCACTTTTTGATGGACGGACTCCAGGCTCCAGCGGGCCATCGAAGTGCTGAAGCCGAAAGTACTCCCTGCCACTGACAAGAAGACAGATTTCTGGAATCTATACAAGACCCTGGCGGACGAGCATGACAAGGAATTTCACCAGAGATATAGTACGGACCTCGACACGACTTTAATTTTTGTGTGTATTGTTCATTTTTACCGTGGTGATTCCGACTGATTTTATTTTCAAGGCGGGGCTTTTCTCAGCAATCGACTCTGCATTCATACTTCAAGTCCAACCGCAAATTCAATTACGCGGGACACCTCTCGTCCTTGTGGTTGCACAAAGCCTATTCTACATAAGCCTGGGCTCCAACACTGCTCGCCGCATTACTTGCCGTTCTTGGGAAACAATGGTTGATGTTTTACTCGGCGGCAGGCGAGAGGGGAACCATGGAAGCACGTTGTCTCGAACGCCAGCGCAAACTGGACGGTCTGCGCAAATGGAAATTCGAGACAATACTGCAGATGTTTCCTCTGCTCTTGCAGTTCGGATTACTCCTCTTTTCATCCGCTCTCTCAGTGTATCTCTGGACAATTCACATTTCCCTCGCCATCATTGTGCTTGGATTGACGTCTCTGGGGTCTTCAACATACATGTTCCTGCTTGTATCAACTCTGCTCTCTCCAGACTCTCCTTTCCAAACTCCCTTGGCTCCTCTGATAGCTTGGTTGATCCCAACTACTCGTTGGATGAAGCTGAGAAGAACTTTCGGAAGCGCCAAAAGGAGATCTCTTCGTGTGGTTCGGCGTGCCTGCTCTGCATATCGTCTCGACTTCCTGCCACCCTTCTCTCCTCCCAGATCTCCACATAGCGCGACGAGGCGGTATGAACCAGCTCCGCTCTTTGATGTTGGTTTACTGGAAAGTTCACCCGAGGCCCCGGCAGTAGCATGGGTGTTGGAGACCTCGACCGATCCACATTTGGTTGCTGTTGCAGCCGAAATGTCCTGTGGCCTTACAATGGACAGGAACAATTGACCTCAGGCCGCAGCTCACGAGGTTACGGGACAGCATTTTGGGCGTGCTTTAACTTCACTCCCTTCGGAACTTCGGGCTTCCGCCTGGACTCCATCCGGGAAGGAATGTCTGTTCGCGCCATTCATCTTGGCCGGGCTTTTTGCACTTTGCGATGCATCCAACAATCCCAATCAGATCGAGACTTCGAACCACGGGTATCTTGGTTTGAAGTTCCCTAACTCTTGGCTCTCACTCTCGGGGCTTAATCCAGAGTTAGAAAATGTCCTTCGAATTCTAGAGGTCAAGCCCGATCTGCATATCGACCCTGATGCGTCACTGGCCACAGAATGGGCCCTGTATGTCATCCCGTTGATATCCCACCGCTACAACGAGTCAGATTTGAAGCTAAGGGCTGCATTGGATTATTTTCTTCACCAATTCGACCGCATGATTCCAAATCTAGATCCTTCGAGCTTCACCGATTATTTGTTCTGCATCAATAACTTTCTTTGCACTATGAGTCGTCGTGACATGGTTTGGAAAGACAAGAGGTAAGAAATGGTACACAAAGTCAACCGAGAGGTGACACTAATTCTCCTCTAGTCGATTCCAAGCAGAATTGTTTGAGCACTTGTTCGAGACGCTTGCCTCGAGCCTCCAGGCCCGCCAACTCTCTATGGACACAGCAGCCAGTATCATCTATACTACTGGGCGGTTATCAAGTGAATCTGAAAACAACGTCTGGGCCCACAACTTTCACAATTACCGTCGGCAATCCATACTATACCGGTTTTGCAGCTCCATTCCCGAGTCAGATGGCTGGGTCGGCACCATGTTATCCATTGGACTACTTGCGGGAAGCCATAATTATCTCATGGGTCATCGGGTTTCGAGAGATCCTGGGTGGATATATAAAGCCCTGGAAAGTGTCGCTGTTCCCGCAGAAGATCAGGACCGATGGGATAGCAGGACAGTGTCTGGGGTTTCTAGCCTCCTGGATGCTCTGCTGTGCCATGGTGCTCCTCCTACAAAAGATCACATCCACGTTCTCCTCCAGGCTCTTTCCATTCCAGGTGATCTTTCCGAGAATGCTCGCCTGCTATTGCGGGGGAATGCTTTGACCTGGCTGGATCAGGATGACGAACTATGGAAAATCCTGGAGCCGGGCTCAGTCTCGCCTTCACTCATTCGTCTGGGTGGAATGGCAGACTGAAGTGGTAGAGGTGTACAAAGTTAAAACCTAAAATGACAGCTATAACTTGCACTGCAATACATATTATGTCGTGGAAATGTCAACGGTTCGCCCGAAAAACTTGGTTAAAAAGTGTCCGAATTATTGTTCAGTATTGTTTCCCGAGTTCCAGTTGCATTGCGTGTGTCCTCGGAAGGGAGGCAAAGACAGTAGAATATGGTACGAGAAAGAAAGAAAATAACCGAAAAAGGGGAGAACGAAAGAAAGAGAGGGCGAGGGAAACGAGAGAGCAGAGACGCGATTCGCGAACGTACTTTGCGACGAGCTCGCGCAGGGGCTTGCCTGAGTCGATGAGCGAGCTGATGCGGTTGGCGGCAAAGACGTCCGGCGCGGCCTCGCGCAGGATATGGTGCGTCGCTAGCAGACGGAGAGTGTGGGCTGCCGCCGAAAGAAAGAATCTGTATCAAAGAGGAAGGGAAAGGAGAAGGACGAGCACCCCACCAAGCTTCGCCTGCTCAACGCCCGTCCGCGCCGCAATGTCACGGACATGCATAGGCCCGTCGCGCAGGACCTCGACGACGTGCGCGGCCTCGAGGACGCGCAGGCAGCTGGGGAGGTGGTACCCCATGCCCGCGTCGCAGAGCGTCAGAAACGGTACCTGCACCGTCGCGGCCATCTGCCCCGCGGCCGCGACGATGCGGTTGATCGCTGCCACCACCGTCGGGTGCGCCGTGAGCTGCTCTGCCCGCCGAGGCGGGGTCGTACGGCGCGTCTAGAGAGGGAAAGTCGAGGGTCGAGTCGGAGTTTGGAGGAGCAGAGGTAGAGTACGACGAGGGCGACGGGGGCGGGCTTGCGTAGACGCGCGAAAAAGAATTGGCCTTCTTGTGGGTCGGGGGCGGGTCGGCGGCGGCGTAGACGGCCCTCGATGTCGGTGAGGGCGTCGCCGAGGATGGCGTGCAGGGCGCGGAGGACGGCAAAGGTCATGGCAGCGCGCAAGAAACCCAGCAATAACTTAGTAAATATATTTGGCTGTCAAAAGATTCGATCGACAGGACGCGTCTTCTTATCGCGTTTTCGTGTTCTTCCAGTTCCAATCGCCCGATACGCCCCGCGGCAGCGAATAACCCAGAATGAGACATTTTCTGTGGAGAAGACGAGGGACATATTTGCGTATGTTGAACACATCCTTTACTGACACCGCTCTTTCACTTTGCCTCTCGGTGCCGTCCTCGAGGCCCGATTCCGACGCTGCCGGCGTCCTTGAATGATCCATGACAGTGGTCGATAAACCTTCTTCCGCAGGTGAAAAAAAGCAACCACAACACACATTCATGGCTCGGACCTGATTCGAACAGGCATCTTCTGCTTCAAGTCATCTGACCACTCATACATGTCATCAGAGACAGACGTGGACCATCCACCACCGAACCTTTCCTGTCCCAATTTCAACCTGGATATGTCTTGCAATTTGAGCAATTCAATGGAACAAAAAAGTGCGCTGTAATTGTAATGGCTCGGGCCTGAATCGAACAGGCTTCTTCTGCTCAGTGAAGCAAGTAATAGCCAACAAAGACAGATGTGGACCATCCACCACCGAACCTTTACTATCCCGATTTCAACCTCGATATACGCTGCAGTTTGAGCAGTCCGATCGTCCCAAAAGATCCACAACTATTGACCAGTGACTCAAGACTTCTTCTGCCTGCACGGAATGCAGCAAAATAGGCGAAACAGATGTGCGCAATCCATCACCCAGTCATCTCAACTTTAGCATGGATAAGACATGCCGGTTTGTGTTCAATATTCTTTTTTTTTTAATCGTCGCAGTCTGCAGGAATGCCTCAGACCTATTTCGAACATGTTCTTTCCGTGCAGAGGAGAATATTCTGAAGCAGCCAGAAACAGATGTGAGCCATCGGCCACCAAGCCTTTCCGGACTTTGAGAATATACCTGACACTTTGAGCAGGTTAGCGGCCAAAATATTCCGAATTCTGGACAGCGCGTGGCTCCGGCTTGGTATCAAGCAAGCGCAGTCTGGCTTCTGTTTAATCCAATGGTCGGGTTAGCAGCAACAACGTGAAATGTGATTCATCCACCACCAACCCGCTCCGCGCTTCATTCCAGGCTCTCACACCGGGACAAAACAAACTATGTTCGAATCCGCCCAAAAAAATCTCTCCCGACGTTATGGGACACGGCTCAGGCCTGACTTGAACACTACCACTGAACCTTCCATCGCTGAATTTCAACCTGAATACTATCCCTTGCAGTTTGATTCTGTTCAACGACCAAAGACTACTGCATGGCTCAGGCCTGATTCGAACAGACTTCTTCTGCTTAATGGAACAAACACATGTCTATCATACCAAAGACAGACGTGGATCATCCACCACTGAGCCTTTCCTTTCCCAATTTCAAGCTGGATATAAGTATACTGCAGTTCTAAGCAGTCCAATTATCCAAAAAATTCCGCCATTGGTACTTAACTGACTCGGATTTGAAAATTGATTTGAATAGACTTCTTTTGCTTCAACGGAACGGTATGCAGCAAAATGGGCGAAGCAGATGTGGACAATCCAGTACCCGGTACCGTCTGAATTTTCAACGCGAATAAGTACACCACCGGTTTGTGTACAAAAAAAATCGTAACCCTCGTTCAGAAATGGCGCAGACCTGATTCGAACAGGCTCTTTCCGTGCAGAGGAGAATATAACCAACCAGAAACGGATGTGGGCCACCACCGCACCTCTCTTCCTGGATGTACCTCACAATTGTGCAGCACAGCGGCCAAAATATTCCGAATTCCAGACCCTTTGTGGCTCCGGCTTGTGGCTACATTCAAGCAGGCTTGTGCTGTGTAAGCCCAACTGGACAGCTGGCCGGAACAAATGTGAGCCATCCACTTGGGGGGAGGCCAATGCTGCGCACGGCATAACTCGTACTTTTTATTTTTATTTTTATTTCCCTTTAACCAAAAACAAAACACCAACTGTTCAGCGCGCCTTTCCACAAGATAATGTGGCTGTGCACAGTACATATGCGAAGGACTTCGGACATCCCCGGCCGAATTGATCGCCAGTCACAGTATCGCTGCCAGGTGCATCAAGGAACCCAATGAAGCCACTTCTTCACATTCTACCAACCGATGTCAGGGTGCTTGGGGTTTGTGAAAAGATGCTCAACTGCCATGTGTGTTGTGGTTATCGGGGATTCAAGTGGCCTTTGGGTGGTAGTTGGTATCTCTTGTCCTTGTTCCAAGGGCACTCTGACTGACGACTGCATTTTTGTCATGCAAATAATGAGGTGGATAGTATAAAATCTGCACCAGTGATGGCAGTGTCGACCCCAGAGCAATGAACATGCTTCTGGCCCTGAAAGCATTTAGCAGATTTCAGTAGCAGTGTATCAATTCAGACCAAAGTATTAGATGACATACTTGAAGCCAGGGGAGTTCTCAAGCTTGAAATCGACTTTGTAAGGACCCCTGTAGGCACCTCAGCCTGGGGAAACAATGAATATTGGTTTCCTATACCTGCGGACTTGTCAGGGGAACCCCGCTTCGGACGGTTTTCCATCCGGACCCAATCCGGATGCTCCGGATGCTTCGGGCGCTTCGGGCGCTTCTCCGGATGGTTTTCCGCCCAGCGCTCCGGATACTTCTGCGCCCTTCTATCCGACCGCCAAACCACCCGGGACATCTGTCCGCTCTCGCTGGCATGTGCTGTGCGATCAGGCCCGCGATCATTGTAGATACCTCCGGACATGTGCTACTGTGTAGTTACCAACTAGTATATAAGGTTTCGCCTAGCGTGGGAATCCTCATCCTTTCTTCTCTTCGGATTCCCCCGCTAGGTGCGTAGTATTTCCGCTCCTGTATTTTAGTACCTATATTTATACTTCGGATTCCCCCGCTAGTTTCCGCGCCCTGCGCTGAGCTTAAGGTTGCCCTTACAGCAGAAGAAAGGATCTAAGGGATCAACCAGTCAAGATTGGGAAGTTTGGTGCAGGTACGGATTCAGACCACTACTCCAGTGCTCCATCCTCCCCCCACTTCAAATCTCGACCCCTCCTCCGTCCCGATGGACCAGCCGCCTGCACCTGGCTCCGCGCAACCCAAGATCCCGAGTATTCACACTCCGCATCTGGCTTCCGAAGCCATGGACCGGCTCGCTGCTGTCGAAGGCTCCCTCGAGAGCATCCAAAACGCGCTCCGCGAGCTATTGCTGAACACCCCAAAATCTGCCGCCTGCCCCCGCCCCTGCCGTTCCGGCTCCGGCGCCGGGTCCAGATTTCTCGGCCCCCCACCCAGCTCCAAAAACGGTCCTTCGACCGAACCCCCCAGCCGTTTTTGACGGCGACCGGACGCAAGGACGGATGTTCCTTCACTCCGTCCTCACCTATTACCGGCTGGTTCCGGAAGCTTTCATGGCGGACGGGTTCGTCTCGCAGGAAAAACTCGTCCGGTTCGCCATGTCCTTCATGTCGAAGGACGCGGCCGCCCAATGGGCGGAACGGCGCGCATCCACCGTACCGTTCCCGTTCCCCACCTGGGCCCCAGTTCGAGGCCGAGTTCCGGCTCCGGTTCGTCAAGGAGAAACGAACAGGACCAAGCCCTCACCAAGCTTGAGTCCCGCTCATATTTCCAGGGCTCCCGTGATATCTACCAGTACATGGACGATTTCGAGGAACTGGCCGTAACGGCCGGTTACTCGGACGCTCTCATCCGGGTCACCAAGTATCGCTCCGGGCTCGACCTGAAGATCAATGTCGCGATCACGATGTCCGGGACCGCCCCCGACCTCACCGACTACGACGGCTGGCGGCGCGCGCGCTTTCCGCCAGTACAAGGCATTCGGTCGAGCCGGATCAGGAAACCCTCCGGTTCGGCTCCCAGCCGCTTTAACATCGGCCGTGTGGAACGGGAATCCTCCCGGTTGCGCCCCCCGCGTGCGCTACGGTCTCGTTCACACCCAGCCCCTGGACCCGCGCTTCCAGCGGTCGTTCCAATGGACGTTGACCGGACCCGAGCACGCCTTTCCCACGCTCTTGTTTCCGGTGTGGTGCGGCCAGACACATCGCCCAGGACTTCCCGGTTACATCTGACGTCTGGCACGCGGACGTTCTCGACGAGGTTGTTCGTCAACTCGGGGACGACCTCCTCGACAAGCTGTTTGCCCGGCTCTCCACCTCCACCTCGCTTCCGGCCGAGTCGGTGGACAGAGATGAGATGGAACTGGCAGGTTTTCCCCGCCCGGCCGAGGTGAGCGGTGCGCCCTCGGTCGCGTCCCCTAATCGCTACGCCCTCCTGTATTCAGATAATGCCAATACATTAGAGTCCGAGGTAGTAGCGAGAGGCGCACCCCCCGTCCCCGTCTCCGTCCAAGTGACCGAGACTCTTCCTTCTGTCCTGGAGACGGAAACCCGCATTGCCCCCGAGCCGGGAACGAGGACAGGCTCGCCTCGGCGCGTTCATTGCCTGAAGTGGGAATGGCGGCTTCCCCGGCAGTACGTCATCGACTCTGTCGAAGACCGAAACTCCTTGCACATCCCGTTGGACCTGCAGTCTGTTGAGACCGCCGCCCGGATGTCGGTGAAGGCTCTGGTCGACTGCAGAGCGACCGGAGACTTTATCGACTCGGAGTATGTCATCTCCCGCAACCTTCCAGTCTGGCCCCTTTCGCAGCCCATCCCGGTTCTCAACGTGACGGCAGCCCGAACCAAGCGGGCGGCATCACCAGCGTAGTCGATATGGTGGTCGACTACAAAGGGCACTCCGAGCGTATCCAGCTTGCCGTGACTCGGCTCGGGAAACAGCACGTTATCCTCGGTTACTCCTGGCTCCAGAAGCATAATCCGGAGATCAACTGGGAGACCAAGGAGGTTCGTATGACGTGTTGTCCGACCGGATGCCGCACCTGCCGGGAGGAGCTATGAGCTGTCCGGAAGAACAAGAAGCTCGCCGCCTCGATCCTCCGGCAGCTGCGTGAAGGTCCGACCCCATCCATCTGCGCGTCAACTCGGAAGAGTGGACCGGAGACGATGGGTACGACCCGGCCGATGACGATGACCTCCCGTACCTCACTCCGGATTCGGAGGACGATGACAAGGACGACGACGAGCTTGAGGAGGGCGATCACATCCTCTACACTGTGTTCGCCCTGGCCGAAGAGATCCGTGCAGGAAGCACCGTCTCGCGGAGGCTCACGCGTGGAATTCCGCACCGGCCGGAACTGAGGTCCCGCCCTGGGCCGCGGATTTCTCGGACGTCTTCGCCCGGGAGTCCTTTGACTCTCTCCCGGACAGGCGGACGTGGGATCACACCATCGAACTCGTCCTGGATGCGAAACCGGCCAATTGTAAGGTCTACCCAATCTCTCCGCTCAAACAGAAGGAGCTCGATGCCTTCATTTCGGAGGGATTGACTACCGGCCGCATCCGCCCGTCAAAGTCTCCGATGGCGTCCCCGGTCTTCTTCGTCAAGAAGAAGGACGGTGCCCCTCCGGTGATAAGCCGTGAATGGACCATGGGTGAAATAGCAAGGAATTTGCCGATTTCTACCTTAATCACGTAGCACGCTGCTCCAAAGGATTAGCATAAGTCCTATATGGCTAATCAGGGCTTGATCCTGCATGAGGACCTTAATCAAGTCCGCCTGGGATGCATCAACTGGAAAGTTCATACTGGTTGACATCCATGATTAAGGGTTTAATTGCCAAGATTAAGCATCGCTGCTTAATCAAGGCATCGCAGGGCCCACAAACAACATGGGCAATATTAATCATCCTCTCTGATGATCTAGGGCACCACTGTGGGGCCTTGATTAGGCGTTTGAGTGCTTTGTTGTGCTTGATTTACAGAGGGAGCCTTGCACGGCGGGTCAGGTGATTCGGGTTTAACAGTAGCCGGTTACCCCGGCTGTGGTTGAGCTTCACTTATCAACTATCCGATCATTGTTGCCATCCTGATTTGGTTACTTGAACCAGGCTGGGACGGTAGCTCGCATATCTCCACAACCACTGGGCGGTTTGGGCTGATTAAGGTACTGGCTTAAAGCTAGTACCTACGTCTACCTAAAACTGAAGGTCCTGAATAGGGGACAAGAGGATAGAAGATGGGACTGTCTACACGATCGGACAAGGAGCAGTCACACCGGACACACTCAAGCATTAAGGGGTCGACACACGAGGATCCTATATATTTACCCACACGTGATTAACTACGGACACCTTACTCATATACCAGCCAGTAGACTAATCATTGTATTGTAAGCGTAATTGTACAGTATATAAGGAGGAGGTTTTGGCATGGATAGGCACTGAACTTTCTGTCACTAAGAGCATTAGCCTTTACCGGGTATTGCTTGATAAACGACGGAGATTCGGGACTTGTCACCCAGGAC